TCGAATGCAAGGTTCGTGCAATTCTTCTGCAAGTTCTCATTTTCGTGAATTATTTTATGAAAATTAGAACAAGAAAATTCCTTACGGTGAATTTGAAATAATAATACAATTTATGTAAATATACGTATAATATAATTATTCACAATAACAATACAAATTTTATATTTCATATGCATATTCACTTGTATTTAAGAAACTTGCATGTTCCGTAAATGCACAAAGATCAGCAAGCAAGTTATAAAGCATTTTGTGTAGACTGAAGATACGTTGAACTATAAATAATAATTAATTTTTCATTGAAATTTTAATCCTGTAATCGATGTCAACACATGTGCGACAGGCACGAATGAAGATATGGAAGCATTCTTTGCTTCTTCTCAATAAATCGTTAATTATAAACAAATGTAATACAAATTCACTGTCTTCTGGTGGAATATGTAATCGGGGTTTCCTTGCTGTTGATCATTGTATTTTCCATTTCGGCACACGTATAGAAACACGAATCACACTGTAAACATGTTAATTTTACATTATACAATTCTCTATTAAAAGTGTATTTATTCAGAAGTGTTTGTTTGATCTGTCGTTCAGATTACTGCTCGCAAAGTAGCTACAATTTACTGTTCTTTCGAAACGTTTGCTAACGATGTTTGCACTTTGGTCTATTGGAAAAGAAAACTTACTTGATTGCCACACTTTAGCGATGATTCAGCGATCGTTGAACATGAATCATTTTTCAAGTAGTATTCTCGAGCGGTACAATTGAAATTGTGCGATCGAAATATAGGATTATTGTGGCGTTAACAATTGGGAAACTTACGACGAGATTATAACGCATAATAGTGATCGGACGAAGTATAGTAAGCATTTCTCGGTATAGGTCGGTTAAATGATAAATCCGATTTTCCTCGTTTAAACTGCTTATTATTAAGTCAGGTTTACGCCATTTCAATTGCGCAATCTCAAATCAGGCTTTTTGTATTTAAATTACTCAATTGTTAAATCGAATTTATTCCATTTAAATTGCATATTGCTACATCGAGTTTCCCTGATTTAAAAGAATTTTCTCACCGAAAACAGTGACGGGTTTAATTGTAAATTTGTATATAAGGATTTTCATGGCCGCTGATTACGAATCTGAACCTGAGAATTCGAACAAAAAAATGTCAGATGGGTTGTTGAAGAAATGATTTGATTTTCACAAAAATTTGGTGTATGTATACTTTCAGAAGTTCTGATTACGAATCTGAATTTCAAATCTATAAGAACAAAACACTTGTAGCCATTTAGTTCTCAGGACAGACAGTAATTTCCTTAGCGCACGTATCATGTCATCGTTGATGACGATAACATATCCTTTTTGATGCAATATTTCGCGCTTCAAACGTTCAATTATTGCACTAGCGTTACTATTCAAATGTTCTTTAATTATGAGAAACACTATGTTTCTACTTAAACAGCATTCACTGTCACGGGATCCTGAAAAATAGAAAACACAATATTGAAACCTTTTTTTCAATTTAAAACTTTTTTTCAAAATAATTTTAGTCATTGCCTAATAATTTGGTTTTTGTAACATCTCAAAACAGTTTAAGTAATTTGGCACGACTTCAAAAAAAGTTATTCTGTTTTCAATACTTTCGTGAAACAGTATACCATACATCGACCCATAATAATTACTATAATGAAAAAATATACAGCTTTGATACAGCCAATTATTTAAGTATAGCTAGATGAAAATATAAACTATGGGTTCAGCAAGTTTGAAGGCAGGATAATACGATAATACTTCTAAGAGCAAAAAGTTGCAACTGTAACCTCGCAATAATTGCATCCCATTTGCTCTTATAATTTGAATCTACAATTTATCGATTTGCTAATGTAATAGTTAACAATTGTTGACATATTAGCGCTAAAAAATGTTGTACTTACTATCAGAAACAATATCCATTTTACACAATTGAAGAAAAATACTTCCACAAAAAGATACAGTCTTCACAATATGCACTCCGCACAGTCACTCAAGCTGCGACAGACTCATAAAACCGCTGTGAGGATCAAATCTGAGCACAATACAGTAAATTCTTCCTTAAAGACCCCGGAATTCAGAATTGAAAACCTCGGGTGACACTCGGGGGACACTCGGACACGATTCTTCGAGCCTCGATACCTGTGGAAGAGGATTTTCAGGGTTTCGTTCACGATTCCGGGTTTTTCTATCACTGTGCGGCGCGATATTTACTCGAAATTTTCTAAAATATATTATCCAAAGAAATATTTTTAATTATATTATGCAGTAGAATAATCAGTATACAAAATCTTATATGAGGATCTTGAGAAACCCCAGGACACCGTTACAGAACTAGAACTTTATTTGAAAATTATGATTCCATGTGCTGTTATTTTTGCTCCAAAGCCTTTAACAAACTATACTCAGTTCTGGATAGTATACTTCAGAGATAGTCCGTAAAAAACCCAAGATGGAAAGTTGGTTTCATGGTTTAGCTCCAGCAATGGTCCTTCGGGTTTCTGGATGGTCAAATTCCTCTTGGCCTGCTTAAAATACCGTAAGATTAGATTGTTTCTAAATGACGTTTGTTCTATATACGTGGATACCTACGGTTTAGGTAGTTTCACATGCCATAAGTTTTAGGCTTTCTCCCTCTAAAACGTCAAACCTTTGTCTCGATTCGTTATACCTGGCCGGATGGCGTGATTTGTTCTAGGCTCGGATTTAGAAGCGATGTATTCGAGTTTCAAAATAATTTACAGTAGGAATTGTTCTTAAATGTAAAACTGGGACATTTTGAGACCCACCCCTAAATATTGCAATAGCTGCATGTGCATACATGAACTCGTGTAGCACGGTGCGACTATTTGAGTCCCACCCTATAACAACAAATTGAATTAAATTATTATTACTTTTTTTATGTTTTTATATTATGTGATTCCTTTGTTAAAAATATACTAATTTTGTTTAATTTAAAACGTGATAAAATTTCTGTGCAACATGGGTTTATTTCATTCTCCGAAATCCTGTGCCCCAAAGAGTTAACCGGTATAAGTCGACGAAAAACATTCGAAATCATAAAGCTCTTGTTATTTTGAAAGCTGGCACAATTTTAATCATAATTAGAGAAGATGTAACTTGAACAGAATTCAATAATATGTAATTGAAAAGTTCAAGTTCTTTATTTAAATTCTTCCATTGCTAACGGATTAATGTAAATCGTGAATTGTTAATATTGTTTAAAGATATCGTTGGACGTTATGCGTCTAAAATTTTGTGCAAAATTCAATTGTGTGCACAATGTTGTACAAAATTCAATGATCACATTTTTACAAAATGCATATCTAAATTTTGTACGAAATTCAGTCATGTTCGCATTTAAAATATTTAGAAATCTCAATCATGTGTACATATAAAATATTTACAAAATTCAGTCATGTACACATTTTGAATATTTACAAAATTCAATCATGTACGCATTTAAAATATTAAACAAAAATTCAGCCATTTACACTTGTGTACAAAATTCAATCATGTACACATGTAAAATATTTACAAGATTCAGTCACGTATACGTTTAAGATATTTACAAAATTCAGTGACGGTTTACATCGAAAATTTTGTTCAAAGTTGTATCACGTACGCGCACAACCGAAACGAATCCTGATTATTGGTCAAGGATCCACATCTGCAAATTATTCGATTACATAAAGCTCCTGATGTCGTAACGTCTCTACTGCCACTTTGCGTTTTCGGGCGAGGAATGTATTGTTCGAACATTCATTGTAGAGTTACAGTAATCACTCCGGCAATCAACTCTAATCCAGCTAGGATTTACGTTATTCGCCGGCATCGCAGTATGATGGCAAAGCCTTAAATCACCGTTATACAGGAACTCGGTAGATAGATAACGTTGATGCGCATATAATACGATTCGTTGTGCTTGTATCAATGATTTTCTCATGGTAGATATAACTGCAGAACAAGGAATTCGTAGATTGATGCAAAATAGTCTGCTGTCTTATAGAAACATTTTCAATATGTTTGAAACCTGCACGATTGTTTCATTAAATTATAGTATAGAACATAAATACTTATTTGTATTTTATATAAAGTTACATATTTGTATTTTATGTGAAGTCACTTATTTGTATTTTATATAAAATTACTTAATTATTGTAAAATTTGAATGTTAAGTGCTGACACTTGGACTGCAAACGTATTTGGAGTAATATGAACACAGTTTTCAGTAGGCAACATGTTTTAAAAGGTCGAGTAAAATTCATATAACATCTTCAAGCATGACCTTGTACCCATACATTCCTCCAGTCGTTAAAGGCATTTAGTATTATCTGCAAGGTATTTGTAATCTTGTTTTATAGATGTGAATCACAATCATAACCATATATGGTGTATTTAATCTATTTCGAATCATTTATTTGCTCCCCCCCCCCCCCAAAAAAAGAATGGCAGATACTGCCAATATTTTACTGTGTAACATGATACTTACCTCCTAAATTAGTCAATTGTTTTAAAGATATAGTAATGTTTCCCTAATTGTCGTTCAAATTGTGCATAAAAATGGACAATTTGGGAAGAGGAGATATGATTATTCGAACCTTGCAGCTCGTTTTTATAATTGTTGGCAATCGGTATCTATAAAAACTAACTGCAAGGCTCGAATAATCGCATCTCCTCTTCCCAAATTGTCCATTTTTGTGCGCAACCTGAGCGTCAATTAGAGAGACTTTACTGTATATGCCACGTGTCATTTCAACCTCGTCATTTTGGGTAGGTTAGTATCGTATTGGCGTAATTCTTAAAATGTAGATTACACATGGCAAAATGTTACGAGTGAAGGAAATTATGAAGTCCCTATTAATCAACTTGACTCTAAATTATCTTAGGAAATAAGCTTGGTCAGTAAATAATACGCGCTCATCGAGTCGGTAATCCAAGGTATTAACGAATCGCTCGTTTTCTGTTACAGAATGCAGCTACCGCGAAGACAAAGGAGATATCCACGTCGTCGACAGCGAGCAACAATGGCAACAGCACGACCGGTAATAACGGCGGACACGCGCCCCTACGTCGAAGCTACACCTCCCTGGTAACCACTTTGATCGAGCAGCATCGTAAACTGGACCGGAGTGCAAGCGAGCCGACCTCTCGCTACAAAACCGAGTTGTGCCGGCCATTTGAGGAAAGCGGTACCTGCAAATATGGCGACAAGTGTCAGTTCGCGCACGGCTACAGTGAATTGCGCAATCTCGCCCGCCATCCGAAATACAAGACCGAGCTGTGCCGTACGTTCCACACGATCGGGTTCTGCCCGTACGGGCCCCGGTGCCATTTCATTCACAACTTCGAGGAGGCGCGGATCCACAACCAAAAAGTGAGCGCGCAGCTGGGCTCGACGCAGCCGAACATCATGGGCCTGAATCCGTTGTTGAGCGCGGCAACGGCAGCGGCGGCGGCCGCGGCGGGCAACAATTGCAATGGCTCGAATGTGAACCTAACCGTGAACAGTGTCAGTCTCCTCGAGCAGATCGTTGCGTCTCCGCAAGTGGCCGCGGCGGCAGCTGCGGCGACGCCCAGCCTGATGCGGACCAACTCGTTGAGCCTGTGCAACAACAACAATCACAGCAACAACAACAACAATAACAACAACACGTACAACCCACCGTTGCTTAGAACGAACTCGCTGAGCCTGACGACCACTCAGCACCACCATCATCACCATCATCATCATCATCATCAGAACGGCACGACGGGCGTCAGCTCAGTTATCGGCGCTACCAGGCCGAAGCCGTTGAATCTGAGCCCGACGTTCTCGCTCGGCAGCACGGGGGACTCGATCTCGCCGTCGTCGAGCCTCAGCCAGTCGCCGACGAACTCGATGGCCAGCTTCTTCAGCGACGATTGCAGTCAACAGCCGTCCCTAAGCTTACCCACCACAGCGTTCAGTTTCGGCCAAGATTTTGGATTGCTCGCGACGAGACAGAGCCCTAGTCCACGAACTAACAGCATGTGCAGCCCTTTGAGTTCCGACGAGCTAACGCCGAGGACGCCGTCGCCGTTGTCGCCGAATGCGGACTCGAGGCTGCCGGTGTTCAACAGGATCAGCAGCACCCTCGCCGATTTCGAGAACCTGAAGATCTAAGGTGCTTCCCCTTCCCCAACCCCCCCAAAACTCCGTATGTCAGTCGACTGTTTGGTATAACTTTTCAAATTTACTTTCCCGAAGACGCACGGACGGCTCACGAAGACGTTAAAACGAAATGAAACGAAGGAGACAAAGAGCTTCGGATCCGCAAACACACGCTAATTTATCTAACCGCAAAAGACAGGAGAATGTGAGGGAGAGAGAGAGAGAGAGAGGACGGACTCTTCCACCGACTCGAGGAAAACTATTCTTTCTTTCGTTCGTTCTTTCCTATTTTTATTTACTTTTTACCTTGGGAAACAAACACGCGGTAATCTGCATTTCTCGTGTGGGACGGATCTTCCTCTCCAACGAACTCGGCTTCTTATTTAAGCGTTTCTTTTCTGTTCGTAGGACACGTTAGACGTTTTACTCTCGTTCTTTAAGCGATCCATCTCTTCCTTTCTATCATAATCGTCTTGATGATTATTATATTATATTATTATATTATATATTATTATTATTATTATTAATATTATTATCATCGCTATAATTTTTAATAATATAATTATTAATAACGTTTATCAGTAATATCGCTATCGACACTAAATATCATTATTACTCTTAACCGCATCAGTAGCGTCAGTCACTGTCTATCTCTGGCCACCGGAGAATCTGTTTTCTTCTCTTTTCTTCGAGTACTTTAGGTTTAACGTTCATTTAGCGGAAAAGTCGAGATCGTATCAGCCCGGATGTCTCGACCCGCTCGCGTGAGAATCCTCGCGGGACCATTCGAACGCGGCGTAGGAGAAAACGCGCGAGGGGAAAGAAAGAAAAAAGATGCCGCGAGCCGGCAACGGACAGGAAGTCGGTGAAACGAGAAGGGGGGACGCGCGTCCAAGTTTCTTCCGAATCGTAACTTTCCTCGAGCAAGTTGTTCTTTGATCTCTGTTGGACCCAGACCAAGGTCCCGCGGTCTCGTTCCTCCGGCACCCGCGGCCGCGTTCGTTCGTTGCCGCTCGGGCATCTCTTCCCTCAGATCGCCCGCGAGGTAGCTCTCGAAGCGTCGTTCGATCCGGGGCAGGTGAAACGTTGCAATATTCCAAAACACAGAACTTCGTTAGTTTGCGTTTTTCTTCCTGAGTCCCTTCGTTTGTGAATATGAAGGGAAAGGGAAGGGAAAGTTGTCTTGAGAGTGAAAGGGCGGCGGGAGAGCGCGGGTCGCGCTCTCGTGCGAGACAGAAATGAAAGCGGACAGATTGATAGAGAAGAGAGAGAGATAGAGTGAAAGAGGGAGACGGAGGAAGAAAGAGAGAAAGAGAGAGAGAGTGTGTGTGTGTGTATGAGAGAGAGAGAGAGATAGGTAGCGTACGGGGGCGGTGACGAAGCGCATGAAACGGATCGAGAATCAAACATCATGCTATGCAAATTAAGTGGCTTAAGAACTCCGATTGTCTTCCAATTTTAGAGAGTGAGTGAAAGTGTGCTTGTGTGAGTGCGTGCGTTGTAGTCCGTGGCAGGAGGAAGATGGCGCGAGACGCGATGGTGAGAGCAGGCGATGTGGCAATGAGCAAAAGGAAGATAATAAGAGAAAGTGGTGCGTTCGCGAGTGTGTGTAGCATTACGCATGGGAAACAGTCGTGTCCTCCGAGTAAGTGAATGAAAGCGTGCTCGTTTAAGGATAAGTTATATACGAAGCCGTTAGGTATACATACATACATATATATACATATATATATATATATATAATATTTTATAGTTGGGGGAGTCCATAGGACTTTCGATCGAATCGTTTTCGAACGAAAACTTTTCTTACGGTTACAAATAACGATAGACACACGCGCAGATACACAGAGACACACGCGCGCAATTGTTTTGTTTTTTCCTTTCTTTCTGTTCTTTGTTTTATTTTTTCTTCTCTTTTACAGAAAGGATATACAGAGCAATTTCGGGAAGAAACAAAAGATAAATAAGTGACCGCGGAGAGTTACTTGTTTTGAATCTTAGGTTTTTATCGAGTTTTGATTCTCCGAGACAATTGTCGATTTTCACCTCTATGCTATTGAACTGAATTGTCGGTGATACACGTAGCTCGCCAGAGAGCTTTTTGGTTCCGTTCTTGTTTTCTTTTCTTTTCAATGCCGTCAACATCTTCCAGAGACGCATAGTTTTCCATTCCTTTTTACGGTTCTTTTGACGCTGAAAACGGCTAGAACTTGATTCCCTTCCAGAGGTTTTTTTTTCAAATTCACGAATGGAAGAAGAGACTTGGTCCAAGTGACGACGGGTCCAAAAAACCAACTTCTCCGGAGAGGTATTTAAGGCATTTTTACCAAAAAAAAATCTCGACAATTTTAATAACGCAACAAAAACCAGGATAAGTAGGTGTAGAGATATCGATGTGGCTTCCTCGTAGTGCCTTAAACCGGGCCTCGATTAGCAGATAAATGACGAGCATGAATGGTTATAAAGTGAGACTGAGAGAGTGTGCGAGTGAGCGAGTGTGTAATGCGATAGAATAAGTGAGAGAGAGAGAAAGAGAGAGAGTGCGTGTGTGTGTGTATGTGAGAGAGAGTGAGAGGGAGAGTAAAAGTGGTCCATCAATTTCGTAGTATACAATACATGGACGTATGTATACGCACATATTCTCTCCCGTTAAAAAAAAAAATGTGATATGTAACTACTGCAATAGAAATATAAACTATTATTAAAAAAAAATATTCTATTATAGGAAGTGAAACAAGATGGAGGAAAAAAGAGTAAATAAGAGAGAATGTGGAAAGTGCGTGGATCAGGATCGAGCGAAAGAGAGAGTGAACGAGAGCAATGAGGCGGCGTTATTTTACGAGTGCTTCCGGTTTCGCGGAAGAAATCACTTTTCGAACATTCGAAATTACGTTCCGGGAACGCGGAATGATTTAATACGGCCGAGTTATCTTTTCGTGACTTGAGAAGGAAAAAGTGACGAGCTGTAGCACCCGAAAAGCTATTACTTCAACTAGCGCGCCGTCTCTTTGAGAATTTTTTGAGATAAAGTTCAAAGAAAATATTTAAAAAAAAAGGAATACAAACAAAATAATATGAAAGTGCCTAAATGACGTGGTTTCTGAAAATCGAATACATTTTGTATATATTGCCACCACACATTTCTTATGCTAAACAAAAAATGTTTTTGTTTAATTTATACTTGAAAGCAAATGTTATTATAGTTTTAGTTTATTAATATTATTCTATTATTATTATTATTAATAATTATTAACTATTATTATTTTTATTATATTATTATATTATTATTATTATTATTATTATTATTATATTCGCAACACTATACGCCTCAGTCGCATCTGAAGTAGTCTCTGCTGCTTCGACGAACAGCACGGCATCCATTTAATATTCTCACCATTTATACTATTTATCTGGTCAATTGTTTCTTTTTTCTACTATTTTTTTTTTGTTTTTTTCTCCCTCTTGCAACGATTAAATCAGTTATTACGAGTGCTCATGTAGTCGGTTGCTTCGACGATCGTCGTCCAAAACTCCGAACTAACGTCAATTAGTCCCGTGTCTTACCCGATACCGCCGTCACTTTTGCGGCTTTATAGATATATAAATATACATAAATATTTATATATTTATATATACATACACAAACACTATATTATTGCTATTAATTTTAATATTATCACTATTGCTATTAATACTACTACTACTGCTGCTATTACTACTTTATACTACTACTACTACTATTACTACTACTACTACTACTACTACTACTACTACTATTACTACTACTACTGCTACTACTACTACTACTACTACTACTGCTACTATAACTGTTGACTATCATTGCTGCTGCTGTTGCTACTATTACTCTGTCACTATCGCTAGTGCTGGCCCAGCATTTACACAGATCGTTGTAATCCCGCCTGGATCCTCTTCGATCACATCATCATTCATTATCGCGATTTTTTTCGATTGAGCCCCACGTGCCCATACTATGCATTTATCAACAACGTGTTTCGCGTGTCTATGATTTTGCATTTTATTACTTCGCTCGACCGACCTTTGGAACTGAGGTGTATGCAACGGTTTTAGTACTCCAAGTTATCAGAAATTAATTTGAGCATATTTTCTTTCATTTTCGGAGACATTCTACCGTCAAATGAGTGGCAGGAGCCTGCCACGCTAGTGCTCATAAAAGTTACATAATATCAGAAAATTTTAGTTGATTATAAAAATAGAACACACAAGTTATATTGTAGCATTCACTTCTGTTACTGTTTTGCAATTTACAGAGCCTCGCAAATTTTTGTTTACTTAATAGCTTCTACAGAAAATCGATTTTTAAGTTAGTTCACACTAACCGTACCGAGCCCTATTCCAAAATTTCATAGAAACCAGGATAAGAAACAAATTCAATTGACAAATTCGAATATTCATTTTTCAACAAAAATAAGACAGCCATTTCTAAGACTAGTAGTAATTAATATCGTTATTTAATAATGGTTAATATTCTACATTTTCTAATAATAGTTAATGTATTACATTTTCTAATAATTAAAAAATGTACTACATTTTCTAATAATTTAAAAATGTCCTACATATTCTAATAATTAAAAAAAATGTACTACATTTTCTAATAATTTAAAAATGTCCTACATTTTCTAATAATTTAAAAATGTCCTACATTTTCTAATAATTAAAAAATGTGCTACATTTTCTAATAATTTAAAAAATATGTTACGTTTCCTAACAATTTAAAAATACGTTTCATTTCCTAATAATTTAAAAATATGTAAATGTCATGAATGCATCAAATGATCCGCAGGTTACTTCTAGCAATCGCGCGATTGACAAACGTGTTCCCAATTCAATATTACCGTACGTTCGAACAAGTAAATTTAATTATTGTCCTCAACGATATCATGTTTACGTAAACAATTGTAGGACAAAAATTGTCAAACCGGTAATGGTACGGTTAACATTAAGCGTGGCGCTGAAATGGTAAAAAGTCATTCCCGCTAAAACACCTGCGTACACGAGTAGGTTTCGAACGCGGACAGCCGTCAAAGAACAGAAGTAATCAGGCAGAATTCAAATCGCGAACGCCTGCGCGGCGCGAACACGCCCGCGTCTATAGTCCGCTCCGAAAACTCGAATTCAACGAACCAGTAAACGCCGAAGAGAAATCCAATTCAGGGTTTAATGGAGTTTAACGTCGGCTCGCACGTCAACCGGGGACCGGCACCAGCAACGGCACGGTCAGTTGCACGCGTGTCAATTAGAAAATCTTGTATGACGCGCGAAAGGGTCAATCGGAGCGAGACGAGCCCGCGCAAACCCGCCGGACAGGGGCAGAGACGGCTCGAGAGGGCGAGAGAGATAGAGAGAGAGAGCGAGCGAGCGATGATGAGAGTGAGAGAGGCAGATAATATGAGGCCTGAAACAGAAGACAACGAGAAAGAGATACATGAAAAGATCGAGAGAGAGAGAGAGAGAGAGAGGAGAGAAAAGAGTGATGTCGTGATCGAAGAAGTGCGGGAGAGAGAGAGAGAGAGAGAGAGAGGAGAGAAAAGAGTGACGTAGTGATCGAAGAAGTGCGGCAGAGAGAGAGAGAGAGAGAGAGAGAGAGAGAGAGAGAGAGAGAAGGCACTATTGCCAGGCGCAGAGAGTGAAAGTCCTGCGAGTTTCTTCTGGCTCGGTCGAGAGGAGTGAAAAGATGAGCGGGCAGGATGGGACGGGCGCCGAAGGAGGAGGAGTCACGATTCACGATCGTTGTTGAAAAGCCAGCGGCCGTTGCACGCTCGTTTGTCGCGTTCGAAGTGAAACGGGTAAAAGACGTTCTCTCGACTCGCGAACACCACACGGACTAATCCGATCTGCACGACGACGAAAGAAGTAAACAACAAACAGCGCACACACTGTTTTGAAAGCGTCCGACGGGATGCTACCGCTGGTTTCCTCGCGAACGTTTGCTGCTTTCGAGACGTTTCTGTATCCTCGCGGACCCAATCCCGTCTTTCCACAACATCCCCCCTCCTCTTGGACTGGAACTGGGCTGAACAAGTTTGTGGAAGGTTTCTTGGCTTTCGTGGCTTCGCCGAGGTCTCGCGTTCTTCCGCGCGCTGGCAGACCGGAGTCCGGGCAGAGTTGTTTTTTCGTTTCTTCTTTTGTTCTGATCTTGAAACTCTTGGCAGATATTTAATTTATTGATGTGATTCGGGCGCAACGAGCGAACACTTCAAGTGGAGGGACTGCGTTCTTCGTAGTTTTCTGTTCCTGCCCATTCCTGCCCATAGGCGGCGGAACGAGTTGTCGCGACACGTTCTCTCCCGTGGAAAGATAGCTTTGGTTTTCGCAAGGATCGTCTCGTTCCTCGTCTGATCGCCGTGGACCAACTTCGATTCAGTTTTTTTTGCCCCCATCGATTCGAACAGTTTGCACGCTTCTTTGGCTTTTCGTGTATTTAATTTGTTCTATTTTGATTGTCGCGTCGCAGCGAGCGTATGATAGCGAGAAAGAGAAAAAGAGAGAGAGAGAGAGAGAATGTGTGCGTTTTTTCTTTTTAGTTAATTAGTGCAATTAATATTATTACGTATTTATTTGAACAATCATTTTTAAGACGAGATAGATTTTTTTTATAGAAAAACATGCATGTTTTTTCTTAGTCCCCGACCGCCTATCCTGCTTATGTTCGTCATCGGCAAAGGAGCGTGCACAGTTCTTCGAAGTTCCACGGTCGCATTTTGCACGGAGCCCGACAAAAAAAGCCAGGAAATTTTCATTCGAACGTCATTTCTTATATAGGTGCCACACAGAGAAAGAGAAAGAGAAAGAGAAAGAGAGAGAGAGAGAGAGAGAGAGAGAGAGAGAAATAGATAGAGAGAGAGTTTATCCGACGGGAAACGCAAGTGGTGCGAGAATAAGAAACCTAATCATTACGAGAATTTCCGATTACGTAAAAAAAAACGTGTGCGAGGGGAACTTTTGTCGTAGCACCGAACGACGCTGATTTCGTACCCTCGTGTTATAGACTTGACAACTTATACATATAATATAATATTAATAAATAATATACTTTACGTTACGTATCTTTTTTTAATTTAATATATTTATTTTTTCAATCAAGTATTTATATATTTATACAATATTTTATACAAACGTTCTTCACAGATACACGCTGATTAAATGTAACAACACGTTACAACGATAACAAACGTGACAGGTCGATCTCTTGGCTCTCAGAGGAAACAAACCCGATCATTCTAATGCAACCCTCGCAATCCCCGTATATTTTTCTTTCTTTTTTTTTATTGTTTTTTTCCTTCTGTATTTTCTTCCATTTCTCCGAGACCAACCAACCAACCAACAAACAAACCAATCAACCGAGTTTATATAGTTTCTCTCCCCTTTTTGTTGCACGCGCGTGGACCGGGCCCACCGGTCTTCCACATCAAAACGTCGAAAGTGTGTATACTTAATTTCTCCTTGTGATACGACGCGACCGCGACATGGTCGTTCGAGAAAGATTTTGCGCGGGAGATCATGTTCGACGAAACTGAGAGAGTGGGAGGGAGAGAAAGAAAGAGAGAGAGAGAGAACGTGAGAGTGGTAGAGTGAGCGAGAGTGGGAGAGACAGAGAAAACGAATGTCTGGTTCTGGATGCATGGCGTGCGAATGGCAGAGAGACGGAAAGAGAGAGAGAGAGAGAGAGAGAGAGAGAAATAGAGTGAGTTGGTAGGAAGAAGTGGGGAGAAAACTGGCGAGTGGGCGCAAGAGAGTGAACGAGTGAGTGAGAGAAAGAGAGAGAGAGAGAGAGAGAGAGAGAGAGCACGAGATCGCGATGGGAAGAGTAAGAAGGGAGGGAAGTGTATGCGTGCGTGTGCGTGTGCGTAAACGAGAGAGACAGTTGCGATACGTACTAAGAGAACGAAATGCGATGTAGCGATTTGGGAGCCAATTGATAGGCTGACGAAAGTCGTTCGAACCGGACACGCGTGTCACGAGGTCTCGATGGAATCTCTTGGACGATTGGAAGCTTGATATAAGATTTGTTCGACG